AATTCACTGGGAAAGAAATGAGGAAAACTATACCATTGACAATAGCATCTAAAAGAATTAGATACTAACCTAACCAAGGAAGTGAAAGGCACCTTTACTGAAAATTACATCACTGAAAAAGGAGACTGAAAAGGACTGTTAGGTTTTGTGTCTAGATGTCCCCTCAAAGCCTCATGCAGTCATAGGGCTTTTTCAGAGGTGGCTGAATCTAGGGTGTGATGCTTGGTTTAAGAGTGTGTGACTACTAAATCAGTCCACTGAATGGTTTGGCACCCCTCATACACATCTCAGTAGTCAGGGTAAGATAAAAGGGGCAGAAAGATACTGCTAAGATTCTTTTGTTGCTTTTGCTGCCGTGTGAGCACCATGAACTGTTTCTCCTCTGCAATACTCCTTTGCTATATGTCACCCTGTCTCAGAGCCAGCTAATTATGGACTGAAACCTCTAAAAACTATGAGCTAAATAAACCCTTTCCCCTTTAACTTTGGATGTTAGGTATTTTGTCTCAGTAATGAGAGAAAAGTAACTAAGACAAGGGCATTAAAGTGGAAAAACACTCCACATTCCTGAATAAGCAGAACTAATGTAGTCAAAATGCAACACTTCCAAAACTGATATAGATTTAACACAATCTCCATCAAAATATCAACAAATATAGCAAAAACAATAAAATTTTTATATGGGACCAGAAGAAACTTAAAATAAAAGAAATTCTGGGTAAGATTAGCAAAGCAAGAAGTATCACAATCCCAGACTTGAAATTCTATTGCAAGCTACAATGATTAAAAAAACCATGTAACTGGCACAAAAACAGCATGTGGATCAATGAAAGAGAACAGAAGAAGCAGAGACAACCTAAGACACATTAAGCTCTTTGGTCTTTGACAAAGGGCCCAAAAGCATACACTGGAAGAAAGATAGCCTCTTTAATAAATGGTTCTGGGAAAACTAGATGTCCCCATGCCAAAGACTGAGTCTAGACCTATAGATTTCACCATGTACTAAACTAAAATCAAAATGGATCCAAGAGCTAAACGTTAAAACAGAAACACTTAAACTGCTGGATGATAAAATAGGTTCAACTCCTGAAGATATAGCCATAGGCAAGGACTTTCTGAACAGAGCCCCAATGACACTAGAATTAATACCTCGAATCAATAAATGGGATTGCATCAAATTTAAAAGCTTCTACACAGTGAAGGAAACAACTGACAGAGTGAAGAGACAATTTACAGAATGAGAATAATTGTTTTGGCAGCAATAGATTGGACAGAGGACTAACTCAAAATAATTAATCCCTCATAATAAAAGACCCAATAAAAATGGGCAACTAAAATGAATGTACACTTTTCAGAGGAAATAGAAATAGCCAATAAATACATGAAGAAATGCTCAATATCACTGGCCATTAGAGAAATGCAAATTAAAACATTACTGAGGGACCATCTTCCTCCACAAAGAATGGCTATCATCATCAAAAAAATGGAATAACAAATGCTAGTGAAGCTGCTGGGAAAAAGAAACCCTTCTCATTGTTGGTGAGAATATAAACAGTACAACCACTGTGCAGATCATACATGCATATTCCTCAAAAACTAAAAGTAGAAATCAATTTGACTGAGCCATATCCTATGTATCTTCCTGAAAGGATCAAGAAATCATCATATCACAGTGATACATTTATACCCATGTTTATAGCAGCACAATTTATGATAGCTAAGTCTTGGAAGCAGCCTCTGAGTCCATCAACAGATGAGCAGATAAAGAAAATATGGTATTCATACACAATGGAATATTAGGGTAGACTTGAGCCATTCGTTGGTAAGTGGATGCAGCTGAACACCATAATGTTAAGTGAAATAAATCAGACACACAAGTTTAAATATCACATTGTCTGTCTCATTTGAGCTATCCAGACTATAAATAAAGAGCAAAATAAAAGATAGATAATAGGAAGTCAAGATGTCTTTTTCAAATTAAAAGGGGAACAAGAGATGCAGGGAGCTGGAGGGAAGGAAGGAAAAGATGAAAAAAAGAGAACTGAAGAAAAAATGGAAATAGAGCTTTGAAAATGGGAAGGAGAACAAGAGTTGGAGGGAACAAGGAAGGATGCTAGGGGAAGGGAGTGAAAAAAGAATTACAGTGTTATGTGCAAGTGTGAACTCCCCATGATAAATGTAATCATTACATAGTTCAAACATCTACTAATAAAATATTTTAAAAAAGATTGACAAAGGAAAATATAATGTTTCATATGACAAACATCCCGATAATGTGGATATCATCATTATTATTAATTTAAATGATTATGATGATAAATATTGCTATTTACACAAGGATTTTTTTAACTTGGAAAAATACTTTATCATTTTTTATTATTACATAACTGATCAGCTTTGGATGTATATGGTATTATAGTTATTGAATTTCATGGGGAGAATATAAGAGAATTGAATCTGCTAGTACAAGAATATATAATACCTAAGTTGATGTGAAGATTCAGAAATATGCTGTGAATTGTTTGTTGGGGTCTTTGATTGGGTTCTCTTTTTCCTTTACTCTATTATACCCCTCTGATCTCCCCTAAGCCCTCAAAGACAGCATATCACCAAAACAGTCTCAAGAAGTATGGGCCAGGAAAGGACTGTGCAGTGTTGCCTTAAAAATGCTAGTGATATGAACTTCACCAAAAGACACATGAGCTCTTCCTCAGTTATTTTTTTCCACACAAAGCCTCTCTTATTCTCTCATTTAATTTAAAAAAAAATCATGATTTTTGTTGTTTTTAAAAATCCAACATAAAACCAAATTAAATATAAATTAAAATGTAAATGCTATTTTATTTCTCATTTTACTTCTTACTGTTAATAATTTTATGTCTTCTATATACTTTGCTCTGCACACATCTATATAGTTTCATTTGATAAAAACTAAGATACAGAATACATATTATTCTGCAATATTTTTCATATTTAAAGGTCAAAAAGTCACCTTTGCATTTCAGTACATGTAGTTTTACACTCCTCAATTAAATGGCCGCACGATTTAGTTTTCTGCCTTAAGTTATTGTAGAAAAATTACAACTTGTCTGACATTTCACAATTCTGTATAATAATAACATGCATTTAATAGTTTTATCATGTTTCCTACAAGCATAAATTCCTATTCTTCACAACATGTGCTAACATTAGTTGAGAAAACCTCCCCTCCTCGTACTCCCCCAAAGCCTTGCTTACTTCTGCTGTATGCATCCCCTTTCTTCTGCAACAGATGAACTGCAAGCATTTAGAAATGCTCAGTTTGGGGAGCTTCTTAAACACAGTTGCACACAGAAGGATAACCTCCTTGAGGAGGAGTATTTTTATACTGCAGCGATCGCCATTTTAGGAGCAGGTGTTTGGGATTCCACTTGGGAGAACTGGAGACGGCAGAGGTTGGGGAAGGGAAAATAAAGTTTCTCTGGCTACAGCTCCATGGGAAAGTCAGAGAAGCAAGGAGAGCAAGGAGCGTCCCTGGAGTCTTCTAGCACACATCGGTGCCTTTGCTGGGGAAGAATACAGCTAGCTAGGCATAGCCACGACGTACTGACAGTGTAGCAGAGAGCAGTGTAACAATACCATCACTTTCTGTCCCGATATCGCTGGAAAATGGGTTCCCTTGATTTTTGTAAGCCAAATTTATTTATTGTGGAATGTTTTGCAGTTTACAAGAAATTTACATATTCATAAGCTTCTTTGGGGTCCCAGAATGCTTTAGTAGACAGAATGGGAACCCTGTACCACAGTGATGGAGAAAGTTAACTCAGAATCTAAACGATGTGTTCAAGTTACAGAGCTGAAAATGAAATAGCTGAACTTGCATTTTAAAAATTCTGCTTGAAAATTCAATTTTCTGCTTTGAGAAGCACATTTTCTTGAAGTCTTCATGTACTAAATAGGCAGTATTGTAGCAAAAAAAAAAAAAGAAGGGCATCCACTGACTTATGAGCCTGTTTATTTACTTATTATTAGTACATATTAGTTATTCAGAAAATTGGATTTCATTGAGTATATGCATATGCATAGTGTGATTATTTTTTACCCTTCATTACCCCCTTTCCCTTTTCCTCTCCCTCCTCATGATCCTTTTCCTCTTCTCTCCTAGTTTCTACTTTTCTGTCATTACTTCAAAAAATTTATAATGATATCATAGACAAACTCCTTAGCTAGATCTCACAAATATTTTATTTTCTGTGACTTTTCAATGTTCTTATAATCCAAGGGGGCAACCACTTACCAATCAAATGAACACCGGTTTGATTAACATGTTTCAGTAGCATATGTTTTTAGAGGCAGAATAAATGGGAAATATTGAGGACATCTCATGCAGAAAATATTCCATGTAGTATCACTCAAGCTGCACGGTACATTTTAGTTCAAAAACTCAGGTTTTAAAAAAGAGAACTCTGATAATCTCTTATGTGCCTCCTCCAAGTTTGGTTTGGAAATAAATCAGAAAATTGCAAGGAGAATAGTGCTATAAATTAACCTGGAAGCTGGTATGGTTCAAGTTATAATGAATTTTTCAGCCTGTTTAAAATTCTAGAGTGTTAGAAACAGGCTTTAAGTAGAAAACCAGCTATTTCATAGCTTATATATAACTGGCTCAATAGGAAATAGCTAATACTTACAAAGCACTTGCTACAGGCCAGGCATCATGACAGGCACTTTAAACACAGTGCCTTCAATCCTTACACTAATTTTTCAAAATAGGTACTGTTACTCTCATCTTTGTATTATGGATGAGGAGACTGAGGTAGAGAGAGGTCAAATTGCTCACCTCAGAACAAGCAGCCTGAACCAAAATCGGCCTCAGCAGCTGGGAATCGGGGTATGCTCCAAGCCAAGTAGTGCACTACTCTGCATATCCTTCATTCCCCGGAAGTATTTGTTTTACCCGAAGCATAGATATGCTGCTCATTGTAATATAACCCATCTACTGTATTTGCTTTCTTCCTCAGGATAGCTGTGGTGAGGGCCAGGAAAAAAGCTCGTGTGCAGCCCTGGGTTATTGGCCTCATCATCTTTTTATCCCTGATTGTGCTGGCAGTGTGCATTGGACTCACTGTTCATTACGTGAGATACAGTAAGTATGAGCTGCCTCGGGAGTGTGTGATTTACCTCACGTACTTCCTGCTTTGCATGCCTCAGGCTTATTCATTAATTCCTATGATTCATTTTCACAGCCAAGACCAAGAAACCTCTGCCTGCTTTGTGCCTCTTTTAATCCCGCAAACTCAAGAAGATTCTTCCTTCTGTCTTTGATGTGGCAATGCCTCTTGTTGGGAATAGTATACTCATTTTCATATTAATTAATAAGGCATAGTTGAGTCTTGAGGAAGACCACAATTTAACTGGAACCCAATATCTTGAGTTATTTGAGGTTGCAGGGCAATCGTTTTGATTTGAAGTACTTTAAGGCTTTGAAATCTTGATATCCAAATAAGCTGATTACACCATGATTAAGGATCATGGAGAAATAGGTTTTATTCAGCTCTAGTGAGTTGGAAAAATGTTCATAGTGATACAGTGTTTAGTAAGTACCTATTTCTATCATTTATATTTTTATCTTGGGATACATTATATGATTAAAGAGAACAAAATATGCTGAGAGGTTTAATTATAAATAGGCTCACTGTATGGTTATCAGATATCTCACTATCAGATGAACTGCTACTTCCTATGTTATTAGAAATGTCTTCAGGGTACTTCCGAACTATTCTTCCATAATATAACAACCCTTCTGAAGTTTTCTTCTACTCTGCTTTGGGTTTTAATTAGTTGACTCAACTATGACCTGTTAGTTTGATATCTCCCTATATGACTAGATTATGCTTTGATGTTCAAGGTCCTGAAACCATAGAAGCTAATCACACTTTATTTTAATTTAACGAGGAATTTGCTAAACACGCTTTCTGTAAAAAGAGCGATCTGTAACCTGTTATCTTCTTTCACTCTCTGCACAAGTCCAATCTTAATTTCAGTAGCAAAGAGCATCACTTCTAAGAAGTTTTTTTAAAAAAAATTTAAAACAGAAGTGTGCATGTGTCGTAAAATTTGCCCACATGTCAGCCTTTGGATTTGAGATATATTCATTTTAAGAATAGAGACCTCTCTGGATCATGCTTTTAATAAAAAAGAATACTAAAATAACTTCACCGTTCTACAGACTTGTTAGGAACATAGTGAGCCCTATCATGTGATAAGCATCGTTATTTCTTCCCATAGATGTCTAAGGCTATAGTCTATTCACTAATATTTCAGAGCTTTACAGAATTCCAGCACATACTGGGTGCTTTATAAGTAAGTTTATTCATATGAACACAGTGAAAACCTGAAAATGTTTTCCTCTAAGCTGTCCCTGGATCTTGTTGTATGGATCATGGGATCAGAAATATACCACACAACTCTCATACTGCCCACACAGTACAGCTGGATAAATGATTACTGCATGTCTTACATTGTGACTTGCCCTCTTTTTGGGAACATAAAGTAATAAAACAGTAGGTATAACAATGAGCATTTAGGAATTGCCATGACAAAATAACCAAGGCAAACTGAAAAAATCTGTTGCAGAAATATCTAAATACAGAGGAAGGTGATTGGATTTGTAAAAATATTACTTTGACCCTTACTACACAAAACTCAGCTTAAAATTCTGTGTGTAGTCTGTGTACAAATCTTTTGCAGCTCTGTTTTTGATTCTCTCTAATTTGGATGTCAGAAGGTAAATCTGTCATTTAGTAACATCATCGCAAGTTACAGAATCACAAACCTGCTAGAAATTATGAGCACACTCATATTCCTTCATATTTCATTATTTCTGTGTCTATACTGCCCGCATTTAAAAATAACTAGACGTACCACAGAATTCTAGAAACTAGGAATATGTTTTTAAAACTTACTGGCCTATTTTAAGTCAACGGAGCAAAATAAAATTTTGAGTGTAGGCAGTTTGTTTACACAGTTGAGCCATTTGAAATTGTCCACATTTGACCAAGTTTCATTGTATAAATGACAATTTAAAATAATTTAATCTAGTAAATAACCCCTAAAAGCCAGACCAAAGATTACTGAAGGATCTGTTATCCTATTTGGTGTGTGTGTGTAATTATCAGCTACATCAGTACCACTAGAGGTCATTTTAGAAATACAAACTTTAAAAAATTTTTAAATTTTATTAGTACACATCTGCAGTTCATGCAGTTATCTTGGGGAGTGACTATATGTACATACCACAGCTTGTTTCTTTTTTCAAACCCCTTTTCCCTTGCCTTCCCTCCCTCCAATTCTCCTATCCCACTTTTTCATTCTTGTTGATATTACTAATCATATGTTATGGTATATAATGTGTACGTTAATTGAGGTTATCGGGTTTCTGTGCATGGTATTTCTTTATTCTTCCTATTTTCCCTTCCTCTCTTTCCCACCCCTCATGTTTTTTTCCCTTGGACCCCTTCCCTAGAGATCCTTCACTTTGTCCCCTTCTATCCATTCTTTATTATTCTTTTTGTTTGTGCTTTGCCTCACTCAATGAGAGACGCCATACAGTAGTTAAGCTTGTGTGTCTGATTTATTTCATTCAGCATTATATTTTCCAAGTGCATCCATTTTCCTATAAAGGTCTCAAATCTGTCATTCTTTATAGCAGAGTAGTATTCTGTTATATATCAATATTGCATTTTCTTTATCCAACTCTCTGTTGATGGGTAAACAGGCTGTTTCCGGGGTTTAACTATTATGAGTTGTGCTGCTGTAAATGCTGGTGTGCATGTGTCATTAGAGCATGATGCCATAAGCTTTTGAGGAAGGTATTAGCAGGAGGATCACTGAATGACACAGAATTTCTGAATTTAGTTCTTTGAGAAATCTCCATACTGATTTCCATAATGTTTGCAGTAGTTTGCATCCCTACCAACAGATTCTTAGATCCAACTTTAGACCCAATGTGTTAGCATCTGCATGCTTTACAAGATCCACAGGTCAACCATTAGTACGGTATGGTTTGAGAAGCAGCATCGGAGAACAGTGATTTCAGCCCCACACAACTCCACAAAGATATTAAAAAATGCATATGTAGTGTAGCAGTAGTTTTGAAAGATAGCGACATTATTTTTCAATATTCAGTAAATTAAAAAACTTACCTGAAATGATGCATTGTCAGGGAGGTTCCTGCATTTCATGCTACCCTGGCCATTCATAGCAGAATCATTCAGGAAAAGGGAAGTGAAAGGATGGTAGAAGGGCAAAGCCTCCCTCTGTCTTCACTAAGATCATGATCACGAGGAGGCTGATTTTCAGGGTCTCCAGTCTGACACTTTCTTCACATACTGCCTCGTAGTGCCGGGTCTTTTTAAAGATGTTGGCTTCAACTTCATTCTCTGACCCATCAAGTCTCCTGGATGAGTAGGTGGCTCTTTTGTTATTTATCAGCCCTGTTTGCATAAATTTTATATTTAAAAATCCCACAGCTCAGAGTGGCATTGGTTGTATTTTACTTCAAGAAGCAGTATGTAAAAAAAAAAGTCTGTGCTTTACTGGTTAGGAATTGGCTTAATTCTGTGTTTTCTGGCTGTGTCACATGGAGGTTCAGCAAAATATTTACATTTCTCAGGTTGGAACCCCTAAATATGGACCTTAATGCCTTCCCATCAAGTCATTGCATATTAAGTGAGATACATAAATATGCCTGAGACACTGGTGCTTGAGGGGGCATCTCCTTTTCCTTTGTGGATTAAGTGAAGAGGAAAAGAATGGGAAGGAATAGAGAGAAGAGAGACTGAGATTGGATGAGGACAATCCATTTTCTAAAATAACTATCTGCAACTCTCTTGGACACTATTGTATTCTGAATGTCTGTCACAAGAGAGTAGTCAGCATTACTATTTATTGAATGAATAAATAACTCTCTTAAGTTTCTGTCCTTGTTTCATGTATAGGAAGGGAGAGGGAAATTTATACAGTCCTAGGTCATTAGTAGGCCCCAAATGTGGGATGCTTAAATTGGGTTGGGAATAGAGGTAGCAGCTAAGGGCTGTACAAGACATCTATAAAGGTGGTGGGAAGAAATCAATGGAGTGACAAGGTAGCCTAGTGAGGTGACAGAGCCCCTGCAGGGCTATGTTTTCTTTTCTGAATTCCTAGTAGTTTAATTTCTGGTTTTATCTCTTCAGCTAAAACAGATTTCCTCACACTAGGTCCTTGTGACCAGAATCTACATGTCATTTACTGAATTGGAAAGAAATCTGCTGTTGAAACATTTTTTAAAAAAGCATTTAACCTGCTGGGGATTTAGCTCAGTGGTACCGCGCTTGCCTTACACGCGCAAGGTCCCGAGTTTGATCCCGGTACAAAAAAAAAAGCATTTAACCTTAGAAAGAGTCTAACCTATCCTTATTTATGTGCTCAGGTAGCATGACTTGCCATCATAGTGGTTTGTGCAGGAATGAAAAACACATGAGTAATCGCCCACACCACATATTTGTAAAATGGCCCAGGAGCACCAGGTATTTCTTACAGTTTTTACATGCTGAAGCATGATGATGAACGTTGTTGTCTTTTATCCTGAGATAAGCCTGGAGAAAGATGATGAAGACAGTATCCTGGCAGAGGAGCATTCCTTCCTGTGTTAGTCTTTCTAGCAACTGCCAAATGGAATAATAATGGTACTGACATGCATCTGATAAAAAATTATTATGGGTTGTTGTCTTTTTTCTTGTAGATCAAAAGAAGACCTACAATTACTATAGCACGTTGCCATTTACAAGTGACAAAGTATATGATGAATTTGGAAGAGAGGGTTCCAAAAATTTCACAGAAATGAGCCAGAGAATTGAACTAATGGTAAGCAGTTTTCAGAACTTTTAGAGCATTTGCTGTCATCTTTTATCATGTATTTTGGTATCCTAGCTTCTATAAAACTCATTCAACTGATCCTTGCATATTTTTGCAAAATGGTAAGAGGCCATACATAAGGACTATAAAATAAAATTAACACTATGTGACTTAGAAGAGTGTGTCTTTCAACTCTGAGCCAAGTGTCAATTAGTCATTCATTTATGTCCCTCCTACTCACAATTTCTTAGCAGTTGCCACAGCCTTGATTAGTAGATTCAGGAACTCTGGGAATGTGAATCAGATATGGTGGTTGTACCATAGACTTCCTAACTAAGAGACCCTGAGCAAAAGTTTGCCAAGATTGAAACCATTCAGACTCATACATGAATAGGGTTTTATCTTTTCAAAATATGTAAACAGGGACCAACTTTTGCTACACGTTTCTACAGGAATCCCATGCATATGTACATGGGTATAGATATCTTTCTATCCTTAGCACATCAACATTCATCTTAAGGGTTGAATAAAATATATTTTTCAAAGTGTCTTCCAGTTTTAATATCTTGAATTAGAACAAAATAGAAGTGACTTGTATTCATTTTTCTTTACTATGATGGAATATCAGAGGCCATCTACTTCATCAAGAAAAAAGGCTTATTCTGGCTGATGGTTCTGGAGCTGGAAGGTCCAGAAGCCACATGTACTGTGGTTCTCTTACTGGCAGAATCTCCAGGAAGCACAGTGCTACACAGCAAACAATGTGAAGCATGTGGGTTTCTTCTGCTCTCTCCCTTTCTTCGGGACTCAATCATGGGGCTCTACTCTAATGATCTTAACTAGTCTGGATCATTTGCCAAGTGCCTTATCTATTAACACCACGGTCAGTTTCAACTTACACATTTTAACACCTCACAGTGAGGTTTAAGTTTCAACACAGGAAGTCTTGGGAGAAACACAAATCATATCAACAATAGCACAGCCATAGTCCTCCCCTCTGACAAACTGTTGAGTACAGTGTAAGCCAGAGGATTTGGTTACCTTGCTGAAGCGGAGGTCAAATCCTGGTTACACCTGTATATGCAAACAGCAAAGCAGGAGCATCTATTAAGAAACTCTTCTTTAAGGTAAGATATAAATATATTTGTAAAATAAAAATGAAATGGAATTTTAAAAGTAAGAAACAGTGCAACTATTTTTCTTGTTTTTTGTGCCATTCACCAAATTCAAAATTTTAAGCTTCAGATCAATTTAATCTAAATAAATGTAGATAGGACTCTTTAATACCCCAAATATTAATAATATTTTTGAAATTAGTTGATAAAATAAAGTGTTGAGTAAAAGTGTTCAAGAAGATAACTATTTAGAGGACCTAGTTTTCTTAAAATTGTAGAAACGGTACTTGGACACAAAGACTCAGGAGTCCATGAAATGTAAGAGTCATCAGAATGTAATAGCTGTGTGCAGTAAATATTATATAAATAATAGGAAGTCAGGGTCTAAAGGTGTAGGGGAAGTGGGAAGGGTAGGGGAAAGGTAATAAGGGAAAAGAAAAGAGAAAATGAAAAAATGGAAATAAAGTGTTTGTAAATGGGGAGGGTATTAGGGGGTAAAGGGAGGGCAGGAACAAGGGGAAAAATGAGAACCAAGACCTGTCATGTAAAGGTACAAGATCCCAGTAATGAATGTAACACTACTGTATAACTAAAATGTAGAGAACACCAACCTGTCATGTAAAGGTACAAGATCCCAGTAATGAATGTAACTGTACTGTATAACTAAAATGTGCCAATAAACTCAATGGGAGAAAAAAACCTAAAAAAATATATGTTTTATTATATATTGCATAAATATATTATATAATACATTTACATTTATGTTATTTTGTAAATATACAAAATAAAACCCAGAAACCCTGAAATGTTTACTTACCTAAACTCCTAATTTAAAAAAATTAAGTTCACTAAAAGTATTACTTATAATAATGAGAAATACAGCTAAAAATACATTCTTCTATCTCAGTAGCATAATGCTCACACGTGTTTGTAATGTATCCCAGCTCACACGGGCTTTCTCAGAGCATTTCAGGGCCGATGTGGGTTTACATTGTGCCAGGATACTGGCAACTTTTTTGTTAGTTTTGAGAACTGCATGACACTGCTACGCACCCATTCCTGAAGTGTCACTCAATGAAATTTCATTTTTTCTGTCTACCTAGACAAAATCTCCTTATTTCAGAAATACTGACCTTTGCTTTTCAAAAGACAGCTTGGTATCAAAGTTAAAAAAATTTTTTTGAATTATGTTTTTTCTCAGTAATATAGCAGAAGTCACTTCCGATCACACTCTGCCTCCCCAGCTCCTTTCAAGCATAAGGCAGAGGGCAGCAGGAATCCCTGGGCATGAGACCGCGGAAGTCTTCCACAGCACATTGGGAACATCTGTCAATGTTTTGTCTTTAAAAAAAAATTTCCATAGAGCTTTGAATCAACTTGTTGAATAGCAATAAATTGTTCTTGCTGACCCATTTTCAATATTTTTGAACAGGTAAAGCATGCATTTAATAAATATCCACTAAAGGGAGAACTTGTCAAGTCTCACATTATCAAGTTCAGGTATGTAGACCTAAAATGCTGACTTCTGCATTCCATTGAAACCTTAGGCTATTATATTGGTCACAACAAAAATATTTTAAGTTATTGATGACATAATTCTATTCAACAAGCATTTGCTTTACACTTGTCCTGTGTAAGTCATGGTTATCAATGTCCCCTACTCATCCTCTAAATCTGATAGTGAGCATTTGTAAAGTGCTTGCTAGTTACAGAGTGTGACTGTGCCTATGAAACAAAATTATTATGTAGTGATTTCACACACCTCCTCTGGCTCAGTTGCAACACCCTACATAAAATGGGGTAGTAGAGATTTGTCTTTAGCTCTTGGTTCTCTTCTTTATCAATTTGTTTATTTTCTTCTATTCTACCTTCTCATACTCCAAATGAATCGCAAATCTGTTGATAAATGGACAAGTTCAGAATATAAAATGTTAAATAAAATATTACATGTGGCTATTAAATAATACATTTTCTTAAAGAAAATTCCTTTTTTTTTTTTTACAAAAATAAGATAAGACTGCAGTATTATTTGAATGACCAACTTCCCAGTCTGTTACTTACCTAACATCTCTGGAGCATTGCCGGACCCCTTTGTTCTATGCTCCAGTGTCTGAGATAGAGTCTGTCCTTGGATCTGCTTCTACTTTTCCAATCCTTAATTTTCCCCTCTCTTAGTGGCTTTATAAATATTGGAATTCCATTTTTCAGCCCCATTCTGTACTACTTTTCTGGTTTCTATCATTTATACTTGTCCATGCACATCTCCACAAAGAAGTTCTGCAGAAAATTCCCTGAAGTAAGGCAAGCACAGTCAAACTTCAGAAACCTAGCTGCCTCCTTCCAGGCTCATATATTCTACCAGTCCTGCTTTTCAAGTCATTGCAGTTTGCGTGCCTCTTCATTCCAGTAGGTTTCCATGCTGATTTTTATTCTTTCCTCTAGTGCCACAGCAGTAAATTGTGTGAGTTTCTTGGGATCGCGTAGACAGTTTTAGACATGTTAAAATATGAAGGGACAGTATGAGCCTGAAAAGTGAGTCTGACTTTATGAAGGTTGAAGAGATTTAGCTGAAGATCTAAATTTGCTCACTATTAACTCAAAATATGAGAAAGAATGAATGTAGATTTCTCAGCAAAAGGGAAAAAGAGGATGATAAAGATAGCTTAAGAAACAGTATTTAAGAGGATGAAAGAAAAATAGAACTGTCTGAAATAGAAAAGGAAATTTCTGAAAGAGGCATCACTGATGCTAAAGATAAGAATCTTCAAGATTAGCTGGATGTGGTGGCACATGCCTGTAATCCCAGCACTCGGGAGGCTGAGGCAGGAGAATTGCTGTAAGTTCGATACCAGCCTGGGCTATATAGTGAGTTCTGGGTCAGTCTCAACTCCATAGTTAGACCCTGTCTCAAAAGCAAAAAAAAAAAAAAAAAAAAAAAAAAAAAAGAAGAGGAACATGTTACATGTTCAGCAGCAACAGACATTCCTGAGACAAGTAAATAACTGCTGGAAGAACCCACTGGAGAAGACAACCAGAAGCCATTCCTCTGCCACTGCAAAACAATTGTCTGGGAACGGAGGAGAAGAAGTAGCCTGGAATGAACTACATATGAGGCGAGTGTATTGATCCTGTCAGGAAGGTTTGCTGTGATTAAGAAGGTGGGATATGAATTGAATAGTGTGGTACAGAGGCTTTTGTTTGTTTTTAATCAGAATACAGCTAATTCAAGAGAAAGAAGAAGGAATAAATAATGGATAGTGTAGGCTTGCTGAGCTAGTGAGAGGTTTGAGACAGAGTAGATAATAGTTATTTTCTAATTAGAAAAAATATAAAATCATAAAAATTCATATAATGCAATATTATATAAAATAGAAAGCAAAAGCCTCTTTCCCAGGACCTCCAACCTCAGAATAACATGTCCTTAGCAATTTATTGTAAACATTATTCCAATAACTATATAAAGATCTATTCAGTTGTTTTTTGGGGGGGCTACCAGGGATCAAACTCGGGTCCTTGCGATTGCGAGGCAGGCAGCGAAACCACTGAGCTGAATCCCCGGCCCAATCTTTTCAGTTCTTTGACTATATAGTACAGTATTTTACTAAAAGTATGTGTCAGTACTAATTTAGCCAATGCCCCATTGATGAACACTTTGGTTGTTAGTTATTTATGTTTAGAAAACAAGGTTACAGTGAACATATTCCACATGTGTCCTCTTTGTACCCATGGGTGTATTTGAAGATTTATTTTTCTAAAATGGCAAGTGCTGTCAGTGAGGATAAATATTGAAATTTATAGCAGATTAAAAAATCTCACTTCCAAAGGATAAGGTTCTCACTCATTACTATTTATAGTTTATGAGAACAGCATTGTACGGTGATGAATAACAGTGTTTGGGAACTGACTGTGAAAGGAGGGACTGAGTAACCAGTAAAGTGAGACCAAAGTAGTATAAATGGTGGTAAACCTAATTAACGCTTTCTCTTGAAAAGCACTGTCACAAAAGCCCTACAATTTGATGAATCTTTCTGAAAGCCTTAGTGTTAAAAGTTGTTGAAGAGAATCTGAGGCTTACTTAAGAGAAGTCAGTGGATTTAACTCCCTAGAATTAAACTCCGTAGCCAAATGCACAATTATTTTGTATTTACCACACATTTCACTTGGTAATTTTGAATGTTGGCAAGATAAGTGTCTTTTTATATCAATAAGCATGCACTTAACTATCAGTGGTTTCGACACTATGAGCCTACTACCTTACCATCAGGGTGGTTCATTTGGCGTTTCTGTACATAGTAAACAGTAGGAATTTAGAAGCAAATGCTACGGCGCTCTCTCTCTCTCTCTCTCTCTCTCTCTCTCTCTCTCTCTCTGTGTGTGTGTGTGTGTGTGTGTGTGTGTGTGTGTGATAGTACCATAAATCAATGAACTAACCTTCCTCAAACTCCGTTTTTTCCTTCCTTCCTTCCCTCCTACCTCCCTCCATCTTTCTATTTATCTTTCTCTCCCTCCCTTCTTTCAAAACCTCATTCTTTTGCCTTATTTTTTGGTTCACAGTCAAGAGGAACATGGACTGTTGGCTCATATGCTGCTCATTTTTAAAATTCGCTCTACCGAAGATCCTGAAACCATTAATAAAATTATTCAACATGTTCTACATAAAAAGCTGAAAAATGCAGTAGGACCCCCTAAGGTTAATCCTGATTCTGTTGAAATTCAAAGTAAGTTGATTTATCTTATGTTTTTATTTCTCTTACTTAGAAGAATTCTATATATATTAGATTTGGGCACTCATTTTAATTTTTCAGATGTCCATACTTCTGGGGTTTGCTACAAACAGGAAAGTCCCTTGAAAGTAAACTTGCCCTAATAAAATGTCTTAATCCTTAGAAAGACCCTAAACATATGCTTTCCATGCAAACTAGCCATTCATTTTGGGGCAGATTATTTCATATTTGGCTTTATACTTTCTCTACAGAATACAATTATAAATAGAGAAATTTTCTTTATATATATATTTTCTTTTTCTTATTGCTTCTGTTTTATATTTTGTGAATATAATATATCGATGGAATGGCTCATGCCTCTATACATTTGCTTTTACTTTTATTTTTCATGAAGTTTTGGTACTTTTTGGTTATACAGTACAGTTACATTCATCGTTGGGATCGTGTATCTTATATGATGTATTTTGGTTCTTATTTTTTCCCCATACACCTGCCCTCCCTTCACCTTCTCCACCCTTTCCTACTTACAAAGACTATGTTTCCATTTTTTACTTTTCTCATATATTTGCTTTCCCCTTCTTTCCTTTCCCCTACCCTTCCCACTTCCCCCTCTCATTTAGCCATTTTTTTCCTAGTTTACACTCTCAATTATACCATTTGAACCTTACACTTTTAGTTTTTCAAACCAGAGAAACTATTTGGTATTTATACATATGTACTATCTATTTCACTTAAGAGTATGGCCTCAATGTGCATCCATTTAGATATAAATATCTCTAATTTCTCATTCTTTATGGATGAGTAGTACTCTATTGTATAGAAAAACCACATCTTCTTTACCCAGTCTCCAGGTGATGGGTAATTAAGCTGTTTCCAAGTTTTAGCTATTACAAACTGTGCTGCTATAAACATGGGTGCACATATATCACTGTGGTATGATTCTTTGAATTCTTTTGGAAAGATACCCAGCAGAGGGATAGCTGGGTCAAACAGGACCTCTAATCCTAGTTTTCTGAGGTATCTCCATTTTGATTTCCACAGTGGTTACACCAGTGTGAACGCCCACCAACAATGGAGAGGGTTCCTTTCTCCCCACAACTCTAGCAGCATTTGTTATTGGTTGATTTCTTCATACCAGTCATTCTTTCTGGGGTGAGGTAGAATCTCAGAGTTCTTTTCATCTGCATCTGTTGAATGAGCAGTGATGTTGAACATTTTTTATATATTTATTTGCTGCTATTATTTGTTTGTCAGAAATATCTGTTCATTTCAGATACCTAGTTTTGAATCAGGTCTTCATATTTTGGGGGGTCTTATTTTTTTGAGTTCTTTTTATATTCTACATAGTTGACTTTTGTTAGAGGAATAGCTGGTAAAATTTTTCCCCACATTGTAGAATGTCTCTTAGCTCTCTTGGTGGTTTCTCTTCAAGTGCAGAAGCTTTTTAATAAGATGAAGTCCTAGTTGTTGATTCTTTGTGCAAGTTCCCATGGTGCTGAGGATTTATTTGTTCATAAAGTCTTTTCCTATGCCAGTGTCTTTGAGTTCTGCCTAACTTGTCTTCCAGCAAGTTTAGTGTTTCTATTATAATATTTAGGTATTTAATCCACTTGGATTTTAGTTTAGTGCATGATGAAAGAAAGGGGTCTAGTATTTATTTTTAACAAGTTGAAATTCAGTTTTTCCAACAACATTTATTAAAGGGGCTATCTTTCCTCCAGTGAGGCTGTTTGGCTGCTTTGTCAAAGATGAAGTAGTTGCATATGTCAGTTGTTTTTGCATCTTCTAATCTATTACACTGATCTTTGGGTCTGTTTCCTTGCCAGTACCATGTTGTTTTTATCACAATGGCTTTGTAGTAAAGTTTCATGTTGGGGATTGTGATATCCCTTGTCATGCCTTTGTTGCCTCAAATGGCTTTTGCTATTCTGCACTTCTGGTTACAAATGAATTTTTGGATTGCTTTCCCTAGTTCTTTGAAATATACTGTTGGGATTACAATCAGGATTGCACTGAATCTGTATAGCAATTTTTGAAGTATGGCCATTTTCAATATATTGGTTCTTCCTGTCCAGGAGCAAGGGATGACGTTCCATTTTCTTATAACCTGTTCAATTTCTTTTTTCAGAGTGCTAAAGTTTTCAGTATAGAGGTCCTTTGCTTGCTTTGTTAGACTGATTCCTAGATATTTCATTTTTTGGATGCTATTTTGAAAAGGATTGTTTCCCTAATTTCTCTCTCAGTGAGTCTGTTGTGTATATGAAGGTTATTGATTTTTGAGTATTGACCTTGTATTCAGGTGCTACTGAATCTGACAATTAAGTCTAGAAGTCTTTTGGCAAGAGTTTTTTGGGGTCTTGTATGCATAGTATAATATCTTCAGCAAATAATGATAGTTTAATTTCTTCCTTTCCTATCTTTATTATTTCAGTTTCTTTCTCTTGTCTAATTGCTGTGGCTAATGTTTCCAGAACTGCATTGAACAGGAGTGGTGGTAATGCTCATGCTTGTCTCATCCCTGATTTTAGCATGAAGGATTTCAGTTTTTGACGATTTAATATATTGTTGGCTGTTGGTTTTTCATGAATAGCCTTTATCAAGTTGAGATACATACAGATAATCTATTTCAGTTTTCTGCAGGGTTTTTTTTTTTAATGAATGGGTGTTGAATTTTGGTGAATGCTTTGTCTGCACATATTGAGATGATCGTATGGTTTTTGTCCTTGACTTTGTTAATATAATATATTACATTTATTGATTTATCTATGTTGAACTATTCTTGCATCCCTGGGATAAATCCAATGTGGTCAGGGGGTATGATCTCCTTGATGACCCTCTGTATTCTGTTAGCCAGTATCTTATTGAAGATTTTTGCATCTGTGTTCATTATTAACATTTGCCTGTGGTTCTCTTTTTTGGTTGGGTTTTCCCTGGTTTTGGAATTAAAGTAACTCTTGATTCCAGGAATGAAACTGGAACTATTGCTTCTCATTCAATTTTATTGAAAGTTTAAAGTATAGTGTCAATAGTTCTTTAAGTTTTGTAGAATTCATTAGTGAAGCCATCAGGACCTTGGCTTTCCTTTATTGGTAAATTTTTAATTATGTTTTCAATTTCACTAATTTTAATTGTGGTTTTTAGAATTTTTTTATCTTCTTCATTCAACTTTGTTAATTCATATGCATCTAGGAATCCATCCATTTCTTCTGTCTTTTCCATTTTATCAAAGTACAGGTTCTTGAAGGTAGGTATTGTTGGCCCTCTGGATTTCTGCTGGATCTGTTGTGATTTCACCTTTTTCATTGCTAATTGCATGGATTTGAGCCTTTTCTTTCCTTTTTTATGACAAGGTTGGCTAAGGGTTTATCAATTTCATTTATTTTTTCAAAACACCAACTCTTCAATTCATTCATTTTTTTGTGTTGTTCTCTTAGTCTCCATTGCACTGATTTTTGCTCTAATCTTTATAATTTCCTCCTTTGTATGATCTTTGGGCTTCTCATGATCTTCTTTTTCTAGGAGATTAAGATTCAGCATTAGGTTGTTTATTTGAGTTTTCTCTGTTTTCCTAGTTTGGGCATTCACTGCTATGATTTTCCCTTGTAGAACTGCTTTCATTGTGTCCTGTAGATTCCTGTATGTTGTATTGGCACTATCATTTATTTGTAAAAACTGTCTAATATCTTCTTTAATTTCCTCTGTGACCCATTGGTTGTTCAGGAGAGTGTTGTTCAATTTCCATGTGTTTGTGAATTTTGTGCCATTTCTTATGCTATTGATCTCCAGTTTTATTGCACTGTAGTCTGATAATATACATGGGATAACTTCAATTCCTTTGCAGGTACTTAAACTTGTTCTATGAGCTAGTATGTGGTCTACTTTGGAGAATGACCCATTTGCAGCCAAAAAGAATATATATGCTGATTTTGTGGGGTGGAACACTCTTTTGATGTCTATTAAGTCCATTTGTTCAAAAGCTTAATTCAGTTCTAGTATATTGTTGTTGATTTTTTGTCTAGATATCCTGTCTATTTCTGATAGTGGGGTATTGAGGTCCCCACTATAATTGTATTAGTGCTTATTTGGTTTTTCATGTCCCATAATATTTTTTTGTAAAGTTGAATGCAGTAGTATTTGGTATACATTTATGATTATCATCTCTTCCTCTTGGATTGTTTCTTTTAAGATAATACAGTGATCTCCTTTGTCTCTTTTATCAATTTTGGTTTGACATTTACTTTGTCTGCAAAGAAGATAGCTACTCTTGCTTTTCTCCAGGTTCCTGTCACATGGAGAACTGTTTCCATCCTTTTACATTCAGTCTATGAATTTTGTTTAACTAAGTGTGTTTCTTGTATACAACATATTGTTGGATTTTGCTTGTTAATCTATTCTGCCAGTCTATTTCTTTTGACTGGTGAATTGAGGCCATTAACATTGATGGTTATAACTGATATGTATTGACTTATCATTGTCATATTGTCGTCCTGTTGTTTGCTCTCTTTAATTTTTCCTGCTCTCCATTTAATTTCTTACCTTGCCTAATGGATTTTCTCTGTTGGTCCTCAAGGTGTTGTGACCTTCATTGTCTTTTTCTAGAGTATTGTTTAGAATTAAGTGAAATAAATAAGTCACCCATGTGTAAATACTGAATAGTTTCCCTGGTGTAAATAATTTGCAACAATGCATAAGATTCTAATAATATTACTGACATTTAGAAATGGGAACAAAGGAGCTAAAGGTGTAGGGAAGGTGGGATGGGTAGGGGAAGAGTAAAAAGGGAAAAGAAAAAAATGTGAGATAATGAAAAGATGAAAATAAAGTGTTTGTAGATAGGGACGGGAGGAGGGGGTGAAGGGAGGGCAGAGGTAAGGGGAAAAAATGAGAATCAAGACTTGTCATGTAGAGGTACAAGATCCCAATAATGAATGTAACTGTACTGTATCCCTAAAATGTACCAATAAACTCAATTAAAGCTGAAAAAAAAAAGAATTGTTTGAAGTACTAGTTTGGTATTCATGAAGTTTCTCAGGTGTTCTTAGTCACGGAAGTTTCTTATTTCCTCATTAATTTGAAAGACAGTTTTGAAAAACCACATCTTCTTTATTCAGTTTTCAACTGATGGGCAAATGGGCTGTTTCCAAGTTTTAGCTATTACAAACTGTGTCGCTATGAACATAAGTGCACATATATCATTGTGATATGATTCTTTTAATTCTTTTGGAAAGATACCCAGCAGAGGATGGCTGGGTCAAATGGAACCTCTAGTTCCAACTCTTTGAGATATCTCCATGTTGATTTCCATAGTGGTTGCACCAGTCTGCACTCCCACCAGCAATGGAAAAGGGTTCCTTTTTCCCCACAACCCCACCAACTTTTGTTATTGTGTGGTTTCTTGATAGCAGCCATTCTTTGTGGGGTGAGGTGAAATCTCAGTGTTATTTTCATCTGCATCTCTCCAATGACCAGTGATGTGGAACATTTTTTCCTATATTTACTTGCTGCTTTTGCTTCTTTGAGAAATGTCTGTTCATTTCAGATGCCCATTTTTGAATTTGGTCTTTATATTTGGGGGGGCTGATTGTTTTGAGTTCTTTTTATAAAATGGAATACTACTCAGCCATTAAGAATGAGAAATTAGATTCATTCATAGGAAAATGAATACATTTTGAGGATATACTCCTAAGTGAAATAAATAAGTCACATGTGTGTAAATACCGAATAGTTTCTCTGGTGTGAAAAACTATAATAGTACATAAGATCCTAATGAGATAATTGACAATGTGAAATAGGAAGAAAAGGGCTAAAGGTGTAGGGAAAGTGGGAAGGGTAGGGGAAAGGTAATAAGGGAAAAGAAAAAAATATGAGAAAATAAAAAAATGGAATTAAAATGTCTGTAAACATGGAGGGGAGGAGGGGGTGAAGGGAGGGGAGGGACAAGGGGAGAAAATGAGAACCAAGACCTATCATGTAAAGGTATAAGATCCCAATAATTAATGTAACTGTACTGTATACCTAAAATGTACCAATAAACTCAATTAAAATTTAAAAAAAAAGAATGACAGTTTTGTAGGCTACATTAGTCTAGGTTGGAGGTTGTTTTCTTTTAGGTCTTGAAATACCTCACTCCAGGCTTTCCTTGACTTGAGGGTGTGTGTGGAAAAGTCTGGGATTCTGATGGGCTTTTCTTTGCATGTGATTTGTATCTTTTCTCCAACTGCTTGTAGAAGTTTGTTCTTCCGCTGGATTTCTGGGGTCTTGATTATTATGTGTCTAGGAGTAGATTCTTTTTGATCATAGCTAGTTGGAGTTCTATATGCCTCACTTATTTGTATGCTAAATTATTTTGCTCTGCTTGGGAAGTTTTCTGTCATTCATTCTGTAAACAGTTTCTTTTAAACTGCTTTTAATTTTTTATTTTTTCTTCTTTTGTCATTTGTAATATTTCCTGTTTTTTCATGGATGCCTATAAGTCCTATATTATTCTTATTTGTGTCATCTAGGAGCTGTTGGGTTGATTTCTCATGGTCCCTTATTATTTTTAAGATAGTTCTCTTTCCATGGTCACTGACTACCATTCTATCTTGTGTATCTGATATTCTGTCTTCAGATTCTCACTCTGTTGCGTATACTTTCATAGTTTTTTTGTTTTTTTTTTTAAGTCCTGGATATCTGTTTGAATCTGTTTCATGGATTCCATTTCTTTCTTATGTTGGGCATTCATGGTTTCCATTTCTTTCCTATTCTGAGCATTCATGGCTTCTATCATGGTCCTGAACTCCTTCTGTTTTGTTTTGTTTTTTAATCTGTTTCTGTTCTAGAGTCTCTAATCATGTCTTTCATTCTATTCACCATCTCTATAGTTATCTGTGAAATTATTTCTGTTTTGAATTTTTCTAGAGCCTCATTAATCTGTTTTGTTACTTTTTGGGCTATCAGTTCAGATTGTCCAACTTTTCAACCTTGTTTTTATAAGAATTTGCCTTTGGTTAGCTGGAAGTCTGTGTTTGTGCCTTGCTTAAATGTTTTCTCATTTCTGTTTTTGTTGATACTCTCCTTAGTTTAATTCCTGGATTAATACTTCAATCTTCCAGATATAGCTAATGTTTAGGTTTTGGGTATTTTATAACTCTGAGACAGTCTCATTTTCATAATACCAGGAAGAACAACTGATTAGATCAATCACAACACCTTAGCCCAAGTGATACAGTCAGCAAAACAATATCATCAAGCACAGCTTAGAAAATGACAGTTTGTGGTAGCTATTAATCTATTACCTTTAACCATATGAAATAAATTAAAATCAAAGATAAGCCCAAAATATGTTTACAGTGAATGGATTCTTCAATATAGAAACTTTACTCTTTATAGTGGGGACTTAGAAGGAGTTGGGGAGAGAGAGATAGATAGGTAGAAGGGGGGAAGATTAGAACTGAGACCAGAGGACACAGGAAGATCATTCAAACTCTAAGAAATTGTTGAAGACAAGAGGAAAAGACAGAATGAAAGAACAAAGTCAAAACTAGAACAACCTATTAGCATAGGGAAACTAGAAACTGTATTCACTTTCCTTTGAAACTAATGACAAGGAAAAAGAGACAAAAAATGAAAAAGAGAAGAAATGCAAATTAGGGCAGGAATAGGAACAAAAAGGGAGATGAAAAATACTGTGGGAGAGTGAAAGAGTGAGTGAGAGAAAGAAAAGAGAGAAAGGATAAAGAAAAAAGGAGGAATTTGAAAGAAGTAAGAAAAAATAAAAAATTAAAAGCAAGAGGAAAATAAAAGATTTAAGTAAAAAATAAAAATGAAGGTCTTCCTTCAGGGTATGTCTCTGCTGTCACAATAGACAAAGTGGGCAACAGTGTGCAGATCTAAGTCAATTAGTCTCAGCAGGCCAGCAGTAGAACTCTGAGATTCAGGTTGATTTCTTGCTGCAAATTCCAGGTTCAGCTCTCTGACCTCCTGCAAGGTTGAACTCTGCAAACTTCTAGTGCAGGTTCCAGCTACCCTTACCCTTATGATAGTCCAGGTTCTGATGGGAGAAGGTGATCCCTCCAACATACCAAAAACATTGGTCTGGTGTCCCTTTATTGCACAGATTCTCTTCACTTTTCCAGTGGGCTTCAATTTCCCTCAAGGATTCTGAAAGTGGCCCTCTTTGCATTGTTCTGTTCTGCTCTATCTTTTGGAGCTCAGGACAATGGCCTTTATGACCCCATGTGCCTCTGTGGTATGGATCCAGTTATCAGCACAACCAGGAGGCCAGAAGCGGTGCATGGTGAACTTAAATCGTACTTCCTTGGAATCTGGCTGAATTCATACACATTGTGGATCTCAGGATCTGCTTTATGAATTTGCATTGTGAATGATACATACAAATAAAATGGCAAGCAATTGTGTCTATCTGTTCATCTTACATTCTGCTCCATTATCCTGTTGGACCTCATTTTCAAAGCACAAGTTACAGATAAAATTTTTAAGAATTTCTCTACAGCAACAGTAAAGCATTAAAATAAACACCAAGCCATTCTTAGCATGAGGCCCAGTGTGGGCATACAAGTTACACATCTGTGAAGACCATCTTGGCAGTAGTCCCAACATATGAGGAGGGCTTTGCCTAGGAAGAGCTTAAGCAAAGGAGAGAGAGAGAGAGAGAGAGAGAGAGAGAGAGAGAGAGAGAGAGGGAAGTTATTTAAAGCAAAGAGATCAAAACTGTTATTCTTAATAGTAATTTGAGTGAAACAATCAATTCCTTATGTTTTTTATTTTCCCCAGAAATAACTAGATGGAGAAAGCCAAGGGGGAAAAAAGAATTTCTAGAATACACACTTTCACAAAGTCATTGCTATTAAATAATAAAATAGAAATTAACAGACTAATATATTTGCATTGAGAACATTTATCATGCCATGTTCAAAGAAAGTATTTTTATCATTGTATATCCACAAAACATTAGAGCTTAGTTCATTGTGTGTTTGTTGTTTGGGTTAGTGTCTGCATAGAGTTAGGGCTATACTACTGAGAAGACAACAAATAAAAAATTATTGGCTTGAGTTAAATGACAATTTGATGGCATACTGTCTTTCTTTCTTTTTTTTTTTTTTTTTTTTTTTTTGTTTTTGGTACCAGGGATCCAACTCAGGTCCTTGTGCTTGTGAAGCAGGCAGCAGAACCACTGAGCTAAATCCCTGGCTCAGCATACTGTCTTTCTAAAACCACAGCACAAAGACAAATTAAAAAGGGATAATAGTGTTTTCAAATGTGTGTGAAGACCAATTTTTAGAGATGCCACTTGGATATGTTTTACAGGTCGGACTGTGCCTAGGATCTGAGTACAATAGTCTGAAATAATGCTTAGTAAAAGTATTACTTCACTTAGGGAGTAAATACTGTGGTTTACATAGATATTTCTAAAGGAGGGGCTGAGGACTAATAGAGTTTTATTTCCTGGTATAAAACTTCATATTCTTGGACTTTTAATACAAAACAGCTGAATAATAATTACTGAGGAGGGAAACAGGAATTTCCATTATAAACATGCTCCCTTTGACTATTATACACATTAAAGTTTAAAGTGCACTGTTCTTGTCCTGTCTTCTCTATAAAACAATGAAAATTTGATGTCTATGATAAACTTTGTTGTTTTCTTTATAATTTAGAGCTATTGGCTTATAAAGGAATTTAGCAGACTTTTAGTGTTTGAAATATTCAGAGGCATAGTGTAATTCTGATGTGCTGACCTAATTCTGTACCATTTCTGTGTATTTCAGAAATCAACACGGCAGAATCAGACAGCTATCTGAACAATTGTAAGTTTAATATATTTATTAAGATTGTGTTACCTATATTGTCAAAGTGCTGACTCCAGGTCTAGTCTTTCCTTTGCCTACTGCAAAGTGCCCCACCATGATTCAGAGAAGACATTTACTAGTTATGGAATCAGTAATACTTCATTTATCTTTAAAAATAGAAGGAACTGTGTTACTCACCAGTTAGGAATGTTTATTAAATTTATTAATTTAACTATGGAGCCAAAAGATAATCCCATTACATCAATGACACATGTCTTTGCCTTATTGGGGGCCTACTATTGCTAGACAATAGAGACACACTAGGACAAGATACAGTCCTGGCCTAGGGTGGCTCATATGCTGACTACTTTCAGAAGACTAATGTATTGAGGAGAGCATATTGTTCCAGAGTCAGCCAAAGGTGCTTTTATTGCCCAAAGTAGCATGTACCACTGTACCATTTTCTTTCATGATTGCAGGTGGTAATGCTACTGAAAATATCTAATATGTGTTAGGCCAGGGATCCTGCACAACATTCTTTACATTTATTGGTACATTTAAAGCAAACAATACAGCTACATTTATCATTGCAATCTTGTACCTTTAAATGGTATATCTTTGTTCTTGTTTTCAACCCATGCCCCTGCCTTCCCTTCACCCCCTTCACCCTTCCCTATTTACAAAGACTGTTTCCATTTTTTCACATTTTTTATTTTCCCTTATTTCCTTTCCTCTACCCTTCCCATTTCCCCTTTAGCCATTTTCTTCCTATTTCACACTCTCTATTATATCATATATCATAATCTTTGTTCTTGTTTTCAACCCATGCCCCTGCCTTCCCTTCACCCCCTTCACCCTTCCCTATTTACAAAGACTGTTTCCATTTTTTCACATTTTTTATTTTCCCTTATTTCCTTTCCTCTACCCTTCCCATTTCCCCTTTAGCCATTTTCTTCCTATTTCACACTCTCTATTATATCATTTGAACCTTCTTTATGTTTTTAGTTTTTTGCACCAGAGAAACTATTCGGTATTTACTCAAGTGTATCCTATTTATTTCACTTAAGAGTATAGCCTCAATGTGCCTTCATTTAGCTATAAATGTTCCTGCACAACATCCTGTAATGCACAGAACAACTGCCTTCTACAAAGAATTACATGATTCAAAATGTCATTGGTTTCACAGTTGAGAAACCATGCTATAAATAATTCTGAAGGAAAAATTATATACACACATGAATGCACAAATACAATATATACAAACACAGAGTGTGTTTTGTTGTTATTGCTGTTGCTATTGTTGTTAAGAAGCATCAAATAAGTTATAACTAAACCAGTATGGAGGCAGGGAAATTGAGAAATCTTCCCTGGAGATATTTAAATCTTGCAAGATGAATAGGAATTAACTATTGAAACAAGTAAAGTCTACAGAAAGGTAAGAACATGAGAAAACATTTGATACTCAAACACAAAATATGAGAAAATTGATATGTGGTAACAAATCAATGCTTAAAACAAGTTCTGTTATTGTGAATGGTATTGTTTTCCTAATTTCTTTCTTGATGGGTTCATTATTGGTGCATAGGACTGCTATTGATTTTCATGTGTTGTTTTTGTATCCTGCTAAATTGCTAAATTTGCTTATTAATTCTAGGAGTCTTTTGGTGCAATTCTTTTGGTTCATCTATGTAAAGGATCATGTCATTGGCAAATAGCAATAATTTGGCTTCTTCCTTCCAATACTTATCCCTTTTATTACTTTCTCTTGCCTGATTAGGGTTTTGGATATGCGTTAGTTACTTTTTTCTTATTGCTGAGACAAAATACCTGACACCCAAAGTTAAAAGGGAAAGGATTTATTTGGTTTACAGTTTTTAGAAGTTTCATTCCTTAATCAACTGGTTCCAAGTCAAGATAGCTAGGGCAACAGTTTGTGGTAGTGGAAGTCAGCAAAAGCGACAATGGACTTTAACAGTGCCTTTTTGCTCCTTTTATTTTATTCAGACTATTGGGACTAGGGCAGTACTACCCCAATCACCCACATGTAGTGGTTTAATAATCACACACCCTTAATCCTGGCATACACACTCTAGATTCACCCACCTATGATGGCATGAGGCTTTGGGTGGACATCTAGACCTAAACCATAACAAAGTACTCTATTGAACAGGAATGGTGAGAGTGGACATCCTTGCTTGATTCTTGATTTTAAAGGGAAAGCTTTCAGTTTCTCCTCATTTAATATTATGCTAATAGTAGGTTTGTCCTAAATGGCTTTCATCAGATTGAGATAACGTCCTTCTATTTTCTTCAGATTTGTTTAAAAATTGTATGGGTTCTCTTGCTGAGAAAGCTGAGATACAAAGAAATCAAAGAACAAAATAAAAGATAGACAATTAGAAATGAGGAGATAGATATTTGGTGAATGAGAAGGGGACTAAGAGAGATTGGAAGGCAAGGGGAAAGGGACATTAAAAAAAAGTTAAGATGTGTCATGTGCATATACTAACTTTGCACAATGAAATGTTTTCCTTATATACTAAAATATGTACTAGTAAACAAGTTTTAAAGAAAACAAAACAACTGTCTTTCTTTGGCAGGCTGTGGAACCCGAAGGACTAAATCTGTGAGAGAGAGTGTCAGGATTGTTGGTGGGACAGAGGTAGAAGAAGGAGAATGGCCATGGCAAACTAGTTTGCGGTGGGATGGGATTCATCGCTGTGGAGCAACTTTAATCAATGGTTCATGGCTTGTGAGTGCTGCTCACTGCTTTCAAATGTAAGTCCTAAACCCTTAGAACGATTGGAGTGAGCAATGGGGACTGTTTTCCACTATATATTCATGAGTAGGTATTGCAAAAGAGAGCTGAAATATCATGACTCTTAGTGAGAGGATTTATGTTCTGGAATCAAAAATGGTGTCAAAATATGTTTCTATAATGAATTATCCATCAATAAACATATGATAGTTTGTTAAAGAAAGCACAAACTTTTAAAGTCTTCTCCATACTTTTAGGCTTGATATTAAAAAGAAGAACTGAGCATCCAGTGAATATCTTTATTGGAGTAGAGGCTAGGCAGATTGTAGGATTGACCTCAGGGGGGAAGTTCCATGTAGGAAGAAAGCTAAATTAGATATGAATATATTGGGAAGTAGCAAATTATAAAACTGAATATATGGATTAAATCTGTTATAACAAATACAGAACTTTTAAACCCAGTGTTAAATATCTACAGGATGTAGAACAGTGTGCTTTGTGAGGCAGGTGGTGGCACCACTGAACTAAATCCCCAACTAAATGTAGTTTTCTAATTCTGTATAGAATATTATTTCCATATGGACTTTGGAGTCACCTTCGCCCTATAATACCAAAGGGCCATAGGGTCTGGAGTAGGTGGCCTGGCATTTACAACCTGACACATGTGCCACGTTAGCTTTTCTATCTGATTTGCCCCTAACCCTGATTCTCAGATTAGAAAAGGTTTATTTTTATAAATAGAAACTATTACTTTAAAAAGAAAACATAGACAGCTTTGAAGTAAATTATTTCATATAAATGGTTAGGTTGGTTAATAGAGGAATTTATTCTTAATTTTTTATCCCTAGGTATAAGAACCCAGCCAGATGGACTGCTTCCTTTGGAGTAACAATAAATCCTCCAAAAGTGGAAAGAGGCCTCCGGAGGATAATTGTCCATGAAAAATACAAACACTCATTGCATGATTATGATATTTCACTTGCAGAGCTTTCTAGTCCTGTTCCTTATACGAATGCAGTGCATAGAATTTGTCTCCCTGATTCCACCCATGAGTTCCTCCCAGGGGATGAACTGTTTGTGACAGGATTTGGAGTAGTACAAAATAATGGTAGGCATTTAAAGAAAAATTCAATCACAGTGGCTTAATTTGGGGCTCCAAGGCATTTAAAGAAAAGATTGTTTTTATGCTGAAACATATTCGTTGTTTGGTTATATGGATCAGGGTTAAGTCAAACTTTATGTCATTTAGAAGGTGAATAAATTACTTCCTGCCTTCATTTACTATTAGTTACATAAGCACTACAATAATGATGCTGGCAAGGTATCTGAAAGAGCAAATATATTTCCTATCCATTGGATGTTTTGCTAAAGAGTTAGCTGATTCAAGAGATTTGAGAGCATCAATGCACACTGTGGTGAATATTGGATAATCATAAATCCACTGTTCTTGCCAAAACAAAATTTCTTCATAATCTTAACAATGGATTAGAACTTACTGAAACAACTTGAGTCTCTTTCTTATGTACCTGAATTTTCTAGATAGGAAAGAAATCTAAATCATACATACCCTAAGATAAATATTACTATCCTTTCTAACAATTATGAAAGTCTTTCTTAAGGTTTACAAAGTATATGTATATCTACAAATCACATTTTTTTCCTTTTAGGTATCACTCAGAATCATCTTCGGCAAGTGCAAATAAATCTCATAGACACTAAAACTTGCAATGCACCCCAAGTTTACAATGGTGCTATAACTCCAAGAATGTTATGTGCTGGTTCCTTAAAAGGAAAAAGAGATGCATGTCAAGTAAGTGGCTTTATCTATTAGTGACATGGGAGAAATATAACTCCGAATTTGTTAAATGTCAGACATGTCAACTTCATGTCCCCTGATATCAAAGAATGCCTTTCAAGGGACAGCAGAGGTTAAGAGTAGGAAAGGTTTGTTGAGAGATAGCTTCTAAGAGACAAGAGGGGTCCTGGAAGTGGGTTAGCACTGAAACTATTTATCAGTGTTAATTTGTACAGCAAAGTTACAGTGTGGATACGATGGGGTCAAACTATAATCAACATAAAGAATTACAAGTATAGATGCTTAGCTAATATTGATCTAATAGGGAAGCAGGTCACATAGCAAGGGTATATGGAAAAAAACAAAGGCATTTTGAGAAGGGTTGGGTCCAGATGCTCTGGTCACCCACATGGGTGACTGATGCCTATCTTTACTCACTAGATGAAGTGGTACTAATTGCAGTATAATTCCCAGTTACTGCTTATTCCTTAGGGAGGCTCACGGGCCTGGCCATTGCATCTTCATCTTCATCTTCCGATGAAGACAATTCCGATGTCTTTAGTTTTCACTGACTTCCTTGGCAGCCTAATCCCTCTCAGACTGTATATTAATATCTATCTATCCTAGTTACCTGTAATCACAGTATGCCACACAAGGTTTTGTTCACCTCTTTTGGAATCACTATTAATTTACATGAAGTTGAAAAGAGATTATACAAGAGTTGTGTACCAGTTTTCCCCAATAGTTGCATCTAACATAACTATTGTGCAATACAAAATCAAAAAAATTGACAGTAGTACAAAGTGTGACTAGGTTGATGACATTTTGTCATTTATAAAGATTTATGTAACCATCACTAAAATTAAGGTGAAGGCTATTCATTACATCATTACACCCATCATTACAAAGATCTATCTTATCAATAACACTCTCAGCCCCTGCCCATGCTCCTAACATCTGGCAATAACTAATTTGTCCTCCATCTCTAGAATTTTGTGATTTGTAGAAAGTTATATGAATAAAATCATGCAGGAACTTTTTGGAATTTCATTTTAATTTATGTATTGTCTTTGACTATCTGTAGAAAACTTTAGTAATTCTTCTGTTGTCTCTCTCTTTGTCTCTCCTTCTCCCTATACATATCTTATCATTGTCTGCTGGTATTGATATCTTACTAGTTTAAGTGGATTAAAGAACAGAAAACTTATCTTCCTTCAATTCTCTTTTTACTTCTGTGATTGGAATATCACCACACTATTATAATAAATATTAATATTACATTTTCTTATATATATTGAGAAATGCATCATAGAATACTGTTCTGCAATTTCCAACCATAACTTAGAAAACTCAAGATGAAAAGTCTATTTATTCAGTTTTGTCCTTTCCTCTTTCCTAATTTGATTAATCCTTTTAAAAATCACTTCTTTTCTGTTTTAGAATCTTCTATAAACCATTCTTGAGTGTAGGTCCATTGCTAGAAATTTCATTTGCCTGAAAAAGTTTTGGATGAGTACATCTACTCTATCTTATTCTGGAGCATGGACATTCTTTTTGAACCCTGATTTTGCTATACAGGTTACAGGTTTGTGTTGTCTATTTTGAATCTTCTGCAGCATGGAAATGTGAACCTCCACATCTTTATTCACATTACTTATAAAATCTTGGAGGGAGCAAAAATTGATTATTTTGATATGTCACTAAATTCTCTTGTAATATTTTTATTCATATATGTTTAGAGTATATGATGTTTCTACTCATCTTAGGGCATGGCAACATGTATTGAACATATCTTGATTTTTGACTCTTTTTATTCCCGTACCTTTCCCAGCTGCCTTCCTCCCTTCATTTCTACATACCCTTTCCCTGTTTTCATAATAATAATAGTAATAATAATAATAGTAATAATAATAATAGTAATAATAATAATAAGTTCATATTCACACCATATAAAGATTTTCCCCTTCAGTGTAGTTCGTACATGTACATGATGCTTCTCAACTCTTTTAATGTACCCCCCTCTCCTACCTAACCTACCCTATCTCTCAGACTCTTGATGACCTGCTCATTTGCAAAAGATCTATTTTCCTGTTTCCTTTTATCAATCCTTTATTTTGGTCCTTATTTGTACTTTTGATGACTCAAGGAAGAGAAACTATGTGATATTTAAGCTTGTGTGCCTTGTATTTCACTTACCATTGTGTTTTCTTTTTTTTTTTTAATTGAGTTTATTGGTACATTTTAGGTATACAGTGCAGTTACATTCATCATTGGGATCTTGTACCTTTACATGACAGGTCTTGGTTCTCATTGTTTCCCCTTGTCCCTGCCTTCCCTTCACCCCCTCCTCCCCTCCCCATTTACAAACACTTTATTTCCATTTTTTAATTTTCTCATATTTTTTCTTTTCCTTTATTACCTTCCCCCTACCCTTCCCACTTTCCGTACACCTTTAGCCCTTTTCTTCCTATTTCACATTGTCAATTACATCATTAGGATCTTATGTACTATTATAGTTTTTCACACCAGAGAAACTATTCAGTATTTACACATGTGTGACTTATTTATTTCACTTAAGAGTATATCCTCAATATGTATCCATTTTCCTATGAATGAATCTAATTATCATTCTTTATGGTTGAGTAGTATTCCATTTTATAGAAAAACCACATCTTCTTTATCCAATTTCCAACTGAAGGGCAAATAGGCTGTTTCCAAGATTTAGCTATTACAAACAGGGCCGCTATAAACATGGGTGCACATATATCACTGTGTATTGATTCCTTTAATTCTTTTGGAAAGATAACCAGCAGAGGGATGCCTGGGTCAAATGGAACCTCTAGATCCAGCTCTTTGAGGTTTCTCTACATTGATTCCCATAGTGGCTGCACCAGTCTGCACTCCCACCAAAAGAATGCTGTAGCTATTTGATCAGGATTGTATCATATTTATATATCAGTTTTGGAAAAATGACCACTTTGATAATATTTGTTCTGTCTGTTGAGGAACAGGGCATATCTTTCCATTTTCTGATTTCCTCAAACTTCTTTTTCAGAGTCCTGCCATTTTCTTAGTAGAGGTCTTTCACTTTCATGTTGTATCCTATGTATTTATTTTTCCAATTTCTTTGTCTGTGAGCTTATCATTGGTGTATAGGAATGTTCTTGATTTTTATGTGTTGATTTTGTATCCTGCTGCATTGCTGAATTTGGTTATTAATCCTAGGAACTTTTAGTGGATTTTTTTTGGACCTTCTATGTAGCAAATCAAGTCATCTGCAAACAATAATAATTTGATTTCTTCCTTTCCTATACATGTTTCTTTTATTTGTTTCTATTCTTTTATTGCCCTAGCTAATGCTTGAGTACTATGTTGAACAGAAGCAGTGACAGTGAGCATCCTTGTCTTATTTCTAATTTTAGAGGGAAAACTTTCAGTTTTCTCTATTTAATATGTTGGCCATCATTTTGTCCTAAGTAGATTTTTATCATATTCAGGTTAGTTACTTTTATACCTATTTCTTCAGGTTTTTAAAAATCATAAATGGGCATTGGGTTTTGTCCAATGCCTTTTCTGCATGTGCTGATGTGATCATGTGGTTTTGACCTTGCTTCTTTCTATGTGGTGTATCACATTTATTGATTTGTGTATATTGATGCATCATTGCAACTCTGAGACAAACCCAGATAGTGATGATGTGTGATCCTTTTGATGATTTTCTACATTCTTTTTAACCATATTTTAAGGACTTCAATTTCATTGAAGATTTTGAGGGTTTTTGGTGTTACAATTTTTCATAGTTGGTATTAAGAATTTTCTGAATTTCAGTGATTTCTCTTGTAATTTCAAATGTTTTTATTTCCAATTGCATTAACATGAGTCTTTTTTCTCTTTTGGTATGCTTGGCTAGTGGTTTATCTATTTTGCTTATTCTTTCAAAGAACCAGCTTTTCAACTTATTTATTCTCTGTATTGCTTTTCTAGTCTCAATTTCATTAATTTTCACTCTGATGTTATCATATACCTCCTTAAATTTGGTTTCTGATTGGTTTGTAGATATACTTTGAGTATCTTGAAGTTCATCATAGATTATTCATTTGTGATTATGCTAATGCTAATGTGAGCGTAGGCTGCAATAACGTTTCCTCTTAGGACTGCTTTTATCATGTCCCATAAGTTCTGGTATGTTGTACTGACATTGCTTGATTCCAGAAATTATTTAATTTCTTCTGTGACATGTTGAGTGTTCAGGATTGTATTATGAAGTTTCCAGGAGATGATATATTTTCTGTGATCTCTTCTGTGATTGATTACTTGTTTCAATGCACTGTGCTGTGATAGTAAAGATGAGGTGATTTCAATTCTTTTGTATTTATTGAACTACAAGTATGTGATTTATTTTGGAGAAAATTTTGTGTGCTGCTGAGGAGAATATGTATTGTATTGTACCAGAAAGAACACTCTGTAGATATCTATTAAGTCCATTTGTTCAGAAGTATACAACTATGACATTTCTTCACTGATTTTTTAAAATTAATCTGTCTCTTTGTGAAAGTGGGGTATTAAGGTTACCCTTATGATTGTGTTGGTATTTATTTGATCTTTTATGTCCTAAAGTATTTGATTTTTTTTAAGATAGATGCCCCAGTATTTGATGCATATATATTTAACAAATGTTATCTCTTCCTGTTGAATTGTTCCCTTAACTAGTATGTAGTGAATTTTGCCTCTTCTGATCACTTTTAGTTTTAAGGTAAATTTTTCAGAGACTAAAATTGTTATCTTTGCTTGCTTTTGGGGTGCTGGTACATGAAATATTGTTTTCCATCCTTTAAATTGTAGTCTGTGAATATCTTTTTGAATTAGATGAGTTTACTGAATGTAACAGACTATTAGATTCTGTTTTTTTGGTCCATTCTTCCAATCTATGTCTTTTAATCAGGGAATTGAGGCCATTACATTGAGATTTATTATTAAAAGGTGTTGGCTTATTCATGACATTTTGTTATTTTTTT